ATATAGGTATTTTTCTTCTTGTCCCATTTCCTGCTTCTCCAGGCAAAAAAAATAACAGGTCAATGGGACAATGAAAAGTAAAGGAGACATGAAGAAGAATAACGATCACAGTTATGGTGATCTTTTAGCATAATAAAGATTGATATGATTTTGATTTAAACTGGTGCATTAAAACACATCCCTATAGATCACAATGTTCTATTGCTTTTCTCCTACTGTTTGCAAAGGGCAGATCTAGTGGCTTTACAGAGAGGTAACTAGCGGCTTATCTCAGAGTCTGTATTGTACAAAGAAAGAATCACAGAGAAGAAGAGAATATAAGTTTATAATAAAAACAGAAATGCCACAAAAACCGACTTTGGGACAGATAAGGATCCCTTGATAGTATCTGGTAATCTGATATCATGCCAGGGAAGACTTAATAGTTAATTAATAGGGTAAGCCTCTGTGAAGTCCCAACCAGAATTGCATTTGCAAGCAGAAGTAGAACATTGTGATATATAGGGATGTGATTTAATGCACCATTTTATAGCCTCTCAGCCCAATCATCTTGTAAGGTGTTGCAAGAGGCTTAATCCGATTCCCACTTTTAGGCATTGGCTATTTTTGAAATCCAGATGTGCCTTCAGTAGGTTTTCTTCATAGTCGGGAACATTGTTAGAGGCCTTGGTTGGTTCTTCTAGGCCAAGGGGGTCAAACTGGCATCCTACAGACCGGATGTGTCATGCACAGGCCACGCCCATTCCAGCTCCATGAATGGGGAAAATGTTGTGAAATCTCTTGTGATGACAATGTGACATCACAAGTTTGACACCCATGTTCTCGGCCATGCTCCAGTCATGGGTCTTTCCCTTTGCAATCCAAGGATTCATCAGAGGTAAACAAAAGACTGTGTCCCCACATGTTTGTCGCAGAGCTTCTAGGGTTGTTGGCTTTTACAGATTATGCAAGATACTGAATATACTGACTGGATGATGATCATCCTTTTCTCTAGAAAGTTTGTCATTATTTTCATTACTATTCTTATTGATAGCTGGCATTAATGGTATAATTGTTTTGTACTTGTGTTTACACTATTTGTTTCTACTGTATGCCATTTTAGGTCTTGCTCACTAAATACAAGAGGAATCCTGAAGGGCAAAATAAATATCTACGTAAAGAATCACAGGAGCTTATGGGGAAGGGCGAGAAGGATAGAATAGAATAGAATAGAATTTTATTATCTGTATGCCGCCCTTCTCCGGGAGGACTCAGGGCGGCGAACAATTCAAGAGGGGAGAAAGGGAAACATAAAGACAAAATACAGATAATAAAAATAAGCAACAGTCGCACAACCATACATGTCGAGAGGGGAGGGAAC